GTTGAGAACCGCTGCTTTAAAGTCGCCTGGTTGATTGTAGCTATCAGCCACATCTACCAAATACCTTCAACACCTCGGGTGGTGTTTGATTAAGCAACTGTGTACTACAATACAGCCTAGCCACATGCCACGTTAACACGCACAACTGGTGGTCACACCCTCCCCGCTCCATTCTACCCGGGCAGCCTTTGTGAGAGTGACCTCTTTCTGGAAGAGCTCTGGTGGGAATTAGCCATATAGTTCGTGGCACGTTATAGTTCAACAGACGCTTTGCTCTTAGTGCCCCAAAGCTGGGGGTTGAATCTCCAGGAAACTCCTGTCCTGCTGGGTCATTCTGGAACTTGCTTTGGTTCCAGACAGGAACCCTTCTGCCCCTGGGTGGGAAATCATTCGGGAAACGATTGACCAGAATGGGGATGTTCCAAGTGGAGATGGTCAGACTGAAGAGGGAACAAGATCGCCAGCTCAAATATTTGAAGAGCTGTGATGGGAAGGAGGCCCCAGGCTCTGGAGGAGGCAGAGCCCTTCTATAAATATTTCAGTATATATTCCTGAAATATAAGGACTCTTGTAAGTATAACCACAATGCCATTAGTACACCTAAGAAAATCAATAATTCTTGGTATCATTAAATATGCAATCCGTATTCAGATTCCCCAGTTATGTCATGAGCAGTTTTCCACAGGTGGTTTGTTGGACTCACGATCCAAACAGGATTCATACCTTGCGTTGTGGCCAGCTGTTCTGCATGATAACGTGATCAGATAGCAGCTTCATTTATTCGCGTGGAGTCAGCTCTTCCCACCACTGCCGGTCTCCTGTGTGTGACACAGTGTGAAGCAGGTGGGAGCTGTGTGAGTAGTGGTGGTGGTTCCGGCGGGAAGCAGCATTCGCCCTAGATGGCTCCCTGAAGGGACTTCATGAGTGACTTCTTGCAGGAGCAGGCAGGGGTGGGGGTACCCAGAGACTACCAGCAGGCAGGGGTGGGGGTACCCAGAGACTACCAGCAGGCAGGGGTGGGGGTACCCAGAGACTACCAGCAGGCAGGGGTAGAAAGAGAGTTAGGGGAGCTCAGTGAGATGAGGAGGGGCTGAGGTGAGGAGGAGATTGGAAAAGAAATGCCTTGGCCTCCCCTTTGCTTGCCCTCCAGTCTCCTGCTCCCTCTCCCACTGGTGAACCCCGCCCGAAGCCAGCCAGCACAGGAGCCCCCAGTTTTCAGGGGACAGCTCCTGGGGGACACCCATGGTTCTAGAGGCGCAAGCAAATAGCAAGATGGCGCCTGAGAAATGGCTCTGAAGCAGAAATGCCTGCAACCAAATCCTGATTCTGTTGCATGCCAGCTGTGTGACTTCAAGGCAAGTTGCTGGAGCTCTCTGTGCCTCAGTTTCCTCCTGTAAGAAGAATGCTGAGCAACTTAAGATCATGTATGTGGTGCCTGGCCCTGAGTGAGCGCTCCATAAATCTGAGCTATAATTATTATAAATTGCCATTAAAAACCACCCAGGCCAAACAGGACACCTCTCTCTTTCTCTGGCTCCTCGAATCTCTGTAGACCCGATGACTCCAGCTTGCCTCCAGCCTAGAGACCAGCCTCAGAATTCTCTGGCCTTCACCCCTCTCCCTCGGATGTCATCTTTCTCACAGGCACCACACCGCTCTTTGTCGTTGAAGGTTCCTCCGACCTAAATGCCAAAGCAGGTCTCAGTCCTCCCTCCCCCAGATGAGGAAATGAAAGGGCCAGCGAAGCCAGCAGGGACTGTGCACTAAGAGTGTTTTCAGTGTCAACCTCGCCATCACAGTATTCAGGGCCCAGTGCAGACTTAGAATCAGGTTGCCGGTTAGCAGAACTTCGGAGAGGTAGCAGGAAGAGAAAAGCCTGGCTCCTTTCCTCCCCTTCCCACTGTCTTCATCAACTGGGCAAGCCTTCCCACGGGCTCACATCAGTGGCAGAGGTGATCTAACAGCTGGGGGTCACGCGTCATACCTTCACAGCCCAGTAGGAAAGAAACGATCCAGATAGTTGTAATTTTAGATAGAAGAGGGTAAGTGTCATGAGAGGAAACGCGGGGCCATGGGATTTTAGACACAGGAGACCCCGGTTCTAGCCGAGGGGCCCACACTGAGGCTGTGGATCCGTGTGGAGGGTGAGATGGGTGTCTTCCCGGCAGAGCGCCATCAGGGGCGGCCTTTCCAGCAGGGGCCAGTTCACAACAAGTCACTGGATTTCTCGTTGTGATTAGACCACAGGCTCAGGTTTACGATGGCTTCCTATGGCAAGCGTGGAAACTTTCTTTTTATTTTTTATTTTTATTGAGTCACAGCTCACAAGAGTATCACCTACGTACAAATAAAAAGTAGGTTAATGATGGGTTTCATGTACCCAGTCTTTAAATTAAGAGCATGGACCATAACTCTGCAGTGTACTCGTAAAACACATACGCTCTATCTCAGCCCCATGTCACTGAGTTGAGAAAAACAGGAAAAGAGAACAGTAATTACTGGCCACCAGTGGCTGGCATCGCTTTCTCCTGACATTCTGGTTGAGTTGCCAGCAGTTAGGCATTAATGGCAACTCTTCAGAATCAAAAAGCAGTTGAAAGGAGCAGTAATGTCTGTATAGCATCTTAAAATGGAAAACGTGCTTTTTCTCAACTAATTTCTTAAAATGTGAATTAGAAAATATCTTTTCACAGACAAGGAAACTGAGGGTCAAAGTGGCCCGCAGTCACACAGCTGGTAAGAGTAGGGTGAGCCTTTTTAACAGCAGTTTTGGGGCCTTCGCCCTCCTAGCCACAGGGCTTTGGTGGGGTTTGCAGACTCTGCCAATTATATTACAGGCGTGATAGTCCTTTTTCACTTTCTAAATGGATATAATGTGGATCCTCCACCCCTCCTGCCTTGAGGTTCTGGCCTCTCCTCTCTCCCCGCTGTTGTAAATTGGAAAGGGGATGCTGAGACTGAGCTGAGGGGGCAGAATGTTTATAAGGAAGTACCTAGGCAGCTACCGCTGTGGAGGGGAGGAATGAAAGCGGGATTGACCCGAAGCAGAAGCCAAGCTGTGACGCAGGTAATGAAACCAGGAGTTTGAGGGCTAAAGTGGCCCACATCACGATTGTCCCACACTGAACCAGGTGGCCAGGCCTCTATACCCTCCCTGTCCAGTTGAGGGAGGGATCTGAGTGCCCGGGAAGGGTGTGACCTTAGGTGAAGTCGCTCTCAGCAGTTGAGGCCTCTGTGAAGGCACAGCTGGAAGTGGTCCCCCCACAGGTCCCCAGCAGCTGCCACTGCCCCTCCTTGTGCATCACACTCACCTGGGGGAAGTCCTCCTCTTGCTCACTGCTTGTAGCACATGTTTCTGCTAGCTTTGTGATAGGCTTGCAGTAACTGATAGTTGAATGACTAAGTGAAGGGCTGGCTAACAAGATATTTATTGACCACGTAACCCTGTGCAAGTGAACGTTTCTCTCCTCCCCAGGTCAGTGGAGTTCAGTCTGCCATCGAGGTTCTTGATTGATATGCAGCCTCCGCTTTCCCCTGTGGCCTCACAGACAGAGTGACCATTTGGGACAGTCCTGGCGTATGCCTGTTGCCCAGCTTAATTGTTTCTAGCACCTTCTTACCCTCAGAAGTGGACGAGTTTGGGTGATCAGTTATGTAGCTATTTATTTGTACCACTGGAGCCTGGGAACAGGAATGGGCCCTCTCAGAACTTCAACACTAGAGCAACCCACCCCGCCCCAGGGCTCACCTTCTGTCTCTTCTGCTTCTCTCTAAGGGCCAAAGAGATAAAGGAAATGACAGGCAACAAAGCTCAAATTCCCGCTCTGGAACTTGGCTCCTGGGCTCCTTTAGCTCCACCTGCCTCCATCTTTAAGAGAACTCGGGCCTGGCTGGGTGGCTCAGGTGGTTGGAGCGTTGTCCCATACTCCAAAAGGCGGGCAGTTAGATTCCCAGTCAGGGCACATAAGCAGGTTCAACCTTTGTTGGGACGCATGCGGGAGGCAGCCAGTCGATGATTCTCTCTCACCATTGATGTTTCTCTCTCTTCTCTTCCTCTCCCTTCTTCTTTGAAATCAATAAAAATATATTTTAAAAAGGTCACTTCCACCTTATTCTGTTAGAAGCAATTCCCTAAGTCTAGCCCCCACTCAGCGGGAGGGGGACTAAGCTTTAGCTCCTTGAGAAAAGAGTGTCAAATTATTTGTGGACGTATTGTAAAACCACCTTTACTGTTCAACGTCCATTTCTGCTTTTTATAAACACCATTCAGAAAAAAGAATAGGTAGATCTTCTACCCAAATCCTCAAATATCTTGCATCCGCTTGAAATATCTTGAAATAAAGGCTCTATGTGTTTTTTCTTCCAAAATCACTCCTGCCCCTGGTGCTTGGAGTTCATCCTGTCTTCCAGTGGGCCTTGCTCTGCAGCTGCCCTTTCTCTGAAGTCATCCCCTTACGAACGTACTCTGGTGTCTCTCATCTTCAAAACAAAACTCTACTCTGACCCATTTCTCCAGTTCATAGCCAAAATCCTTGAATCAACTGTACACTGTTTCACTTGTCACCTCCCATTTACTCCTCCACACAGTATCATTTGGCTTCCTCCCTACACTGATTTTTCAAAGGCCACCAACAGCCTTCCTATTGCCAAATCCAATGGATACTTTTGTCCGTCTTTGTGCAACCCCCAAGCAGCATTCGTCGCACTCAACCACTCCATTCTTTTGAAACACTTGGACCGCTGGACATGGCTGTCCCCGGGCTCTCCCCCACCCCACCTCACTTCCTGTCCCCTCATGCTCGTTGCCTGCGTCTCCGAATGGAGGCAGCAGTACTATTCAGCCCTTCCTGCCTTGTGCTCTCCTGGAGTCCCATTGGCTCCTGTGTGCGTGGGTTGATGTATTCCCCATTTATACCTCCAGTTCAAACCTTTGCTATAAATTCAACTTACTTGATGGAATATGGATTTCTACTTAGAACATTTTTTGGGTATTTTTATAGGAGAATGAGGTATTAAGAGCTACGGGTCACAGTTCCCAGCAGGAGGAAAATGAGCAAGGTGTGTCAGCCCAGAAGGACAAATCACTACAGCAGCAGGGTGAAGATGAAACTAAAACAGCAGATGTACCTGAGTGGGAGGCAGAAAAGACCACTGACACTAGGAATGAGGTAAGCATGTCAGAATACCCCAGCCTGGCCATTCTGGCCAAAAGGTACATTTTCTAAGGCTTTGTCAGTATGTGTTGAGAATGAATTTTGTATACGTATGACCTACTCTAAGCAGATCTGATATATGGAAAACACTCAGCTTTTGTTTTTTATTGTCGGAGTGGTTATTTGGTTTACAAAGGAATCAGCCCATAGAATTAGTTAAGATAGTGTGTGTGCTCAGGTGTACCCCCAACCCCTCCAGGAACTTGCTAGCAGGTTTTTAGTTGCATTTGCCATGGCAAGGGATAAAGATGGCTGATGTCCTGTATCCAGGAATCCTCACCTAGCCCCCTGCAGGCAAAGCACCCTCCCTACCAGCTGGGGCTTGGGCTCAAATCCTCACCCAGTGTCCTGCTGGGCCATGCTCCACGGGCATCCATCCAGGAGCCCATATTGTACCTCTCTGCCTAGAATTAAGGCCAGGCCCAGTGGGGACAGCCTCCTTCACTCGTGTCTAACCACACTCTTGGCCGTGAGAAGAGGAATAAGAGGGTGAACACCAGGAACCAGGCTGATGGGGTGGATTCTTCCTGCAACCTGTGCTGCCCCTTCTTCCACGTGGGCCATACTCTGGTTTCTTCTCAGCCCTGCTGCGGTCCTAGCCCACAAGCCTGGCAAACAAGTGCTCCAAAGAGGGGCATGGAGGCTCCAGACTTTAAACCACTTGGCACTCACCTAAAAGGTGTCCCAATGGCTTTCTCAGCTATGACTGCCCCAGGTGGAGTTTGGGGCTGTGCTTTGACCTGCCTTGGAGGATGGGAGGTACCAGGCCTTGGCCCTTTTCAGAGAGTCCATCACTATCTCCTTGACCGTGTGACATTACATCAAACATTACATGATTGATGGAGTGAAATCAGAAGACAGCTTTGCTCTTTGCCCACCCACTGTGCCCACCCCTCCAGCCTGTCCTATCCTATTCTAGGAGAGTGAATTCTTCCCTATACCTGGAGTGAAATTGGGGCAGGCCCCATGACTTACAGATAATAAAAATCTCTCTGATCATCCCACTGCAGCAATTGGTCAATAATATAATCCAGTGTAATTCTAAAAACTCTGAACAGAAATTCGGCTTCTCCGCTCCTGACTCATCCGCTGCAGCCTGAGCCTGTCGGAGGAGGAAAGTGTGTGTGTGGGTGTGTACACCTGCGTGTGGCCTATTTGTCCGTTTCCCCAGTCCTCCCTCCCTTGCTCTCTAAGCTGCCTTTTCTGGGGTGTGGTGGGATAATAAGGGCTCAGGAAAGGGGTTTGACTGGCACTATTTGATACTGGTTTCTCTTGACCACAGGGTGTGTTTAAACTGTTTTTTTGTTGGGTGGGCACTTTCATTCCATAGGTTCTTTGGAGACCCCCACAACTGGGAGTCCTTCTCTTGCCCATCTCTTGACAAGGACAAAGGCATCTCCACCTCCAGGTGACCCTCTCCAGCAGCTGGTCTTGGAAACATGCCCCTCAGCCCCTTTGTCAGTCCAATCCCTCCCCTAAGCGCAGCCCTTGCTCAGCCTCTTGCCCTTTGTGTTTCTCAGGCAAGCTCTGGACACTCATCTACTGTTTCCCCAACCGCAGGGAATACACTCGCCACATTTCTAAGTGGTCTCCTAGGGTCCCTTTTTGTCCCTCTTAAGGAGAGAGGGGTGAGGAGCTCACTCCAAGGAACCCTCCCAATTAAGTGAAGACCCCATTCAGGCTTGCATTTCGCTTTGAAGTGCAGAGGTAATTGCTCCTGCCTGTGCTTTCACCCACGTCTTCTCCCAGGCCTGTATTTCCTCATAATTTATGTACCCTTGGTGTGGCACTGCCCTACCCTAGCACCCCCCCCCCACCCACCCCACACACAGCAGTTATTGTCACATCAACGCCAATGAGCTTTTATATTAACAAAATGCTGAAAGGCGTTTTTTCAAAAGGAGACATTTCAGCCTACTTCCCACTTTACTCCTGAGTGTCCCAAAGTCTTTTTTGAGGGAGAAGATGTTTTTATCGCAGTCTTATCAGTTCATTGTTTTATAGATTTGTGCTGTTGCTTCATTTTTCTCCTGGGTGTGCCTTTGTCTTTGCTCCCTCACTGAGCTTCCCAGAAGAGCGGGAATTGTTTTTTACTTCTGTGAATTACCTGAAGTGACTCACTGCTAGATACAGAGTGGCATTCTTCACATGCTAATGAAGGGATCCAAGTAGGGAACTTCCTTAGAGAATACAATTTAAATTAGGGAAAATATCAATTCGGACAGAACTTTCCAGAAACACATTAATTACTCAAAGCAAGGCATTTGTGCCTCAGTCCTTAAGTTCAGGTTTGGCTCCTCTCTGTGCACCTCCATGTGCCTGGTGGGTATGTCTTGTTTAGTTAGCATCAGTTTACAAAATTCTTTTACTGAGATGTTACTTAGTAGGTACTCTGACAGTTTGTTGAAATAGTATTTATTTCCCTTCAGGTGACAATCCTGGGTGATAACAAATGACATGACTTGCTACTTAACCTTGACCTCTTTCTAGCCCCACTGTAGGCCATCTTAGACTGCTGGCTATTAATGAAGAATAAATACACTAAATGTAGGTTAACTGATCTGAAGAGATTTTCTTTTCACTAAAGACAATTTGAAGTTTACAGTAATGTTTCATATTTTAAAAGATATGTCATAAAGTTAAGTGTGTCCACCATATTCTTTAAATACTCCTAGTGATCTCTGTTCAAAATGCAATGTATTTTTGACCCAAAACAGAACTGTATGTTTGTATTTTATGTTAAGATTTCTAAGAGTCGGTCTTAAGAAAGAAGACTGACCACTCCCTGGCAATCTAAATCAAATTTAATGTAATATGTCTTTTGGATTAATTGTAAGAATAGCTGAGTGTCCATTTTTGTGCAAGATCTGTACTCACCTGAACAGAAAAAACTCGGCAATTAGATTTAGAAATGGATTTACCAAGTTTTATGAAAACAAATGTTTCTAACAGAATGATGTCCACAGTTGAGGCTCTCAGAAACAAGGCACATGACCATGAGATTCTGAAGTGAATGAGGGGATTGTGTGTTTTTTAAAACAGGTGAGGGCAGGTTTAAGGGAAACACTGAGGTAATAGGGAGTCCCGCTCCCAGGGACTTGCAACAACATGAAGCCATTACTACCATTACCACCATCAGGACAAAAGGGGACCTGGGAGGCATAGAGCTCAGTGAGAGCTGGAATTGATCAGCGGAAGCTATGGTCTCTAAGGTACTCTGTTGCTCCTCCCATCTCTTGCCTCTGTCTCCTGTGGACCCAACCAGAGGGCTGGATCAGTAGGGGTTAACCCAGCCGTGGGCCACGGGCCGGATCCCGTTTGAAACGAATAAAACTAAAAAAAAAAAAAAGACCGTACCCTTTTATGTAATGATGTTAACTTTGAATTTATATTAGTTCACACAAACACTCCATCCATACTTTTGTTCCGGCCCTCTGGTCCAGTTTAAGAACCCATTGTGGCCCTCGAATCAAAAAGTTTGCCCACCCCTGGGTTAACCCCTTGGCCCACTGTGTCCAGGGGCATTGAAGAAGAGGGAACAGGAAAAAGATTTAATGAAACACATTTTTGACTAGCCTGAAGGGGTCAGTCAGTCCATAATTTATTTTAAGCAGAATGATCCTCATACCCTTACTTCTATATTCTAAATATTAAGGCTTTCTTTACTGCAAATAATGTTACTTACCCACCACTCAGGATTGTTTTTGCAGGAATCCAGATGTATGCTGATGTTATCTATTCTCAGACACTTGTGACCATCAGCAAATTTTGGTAAACATTTGGCCAGGACTAAGCAAGTTTGGGGTCCTCAACAGAAGTAATAGAATACTTCTAAAATTTCTCGAAATTAGGAATCATTTCAAATAACAATTCAATTGGTGAAGTAGTCCGCTACCCAATAAGAATGTATAATTGCCAGTTAAAGAAGAGCAAGAAATCTTACCCACCAATTTAGCTTAAACATTCCTACAGCATCCATAGAAAGCCTTGCATTTATTCCTTGTATTACAATGAAATAGCTTGAAAACATGGCTTCATAGAACCAAGATGTTTGGTGGGAAAAGAAACCAAGTATTTGTACACACATACACCGCAGACCAACTGGTATGAATCTTCAAAACTGAAAACCCTAAAGTAAAAAGTTAGGGGTAGAAGTGATGCACAGCACAAGTCAGGAATGTGACTTACTAACCTGTAATGATAATCGCCATGGCACACCAAAAGCGGTAATCCTGGATAAAATATAACAGGCAACATTTTTAGTGCACAGTGGAACTCAAAAGCAAGAAAGCAAAAGTCCACAGATACAAGAAACAAAGAAGGGACTCAAACCTACAATTTAAAATAATTGGGCACCAAACGGAGGAACCTCAAGGAGGAATTGGATCCAGATGTCATAAGTGGGGTTAAATGAATGGAAAATATCTCAAGCCTGTGCCTGGGGCACCTGGGTTCCCTGCTTATGAGCTCTTTGGTTCAGGAAATAGGGACTAGGACAGTGGTCGGCAAACTGCGGCCCCTTGAGTGTGGCTCTTCCACAAAATACCACGTGCGGGCGCGCACGTACAGTGCGATTGAAACTTCGTGGCCACACTCAAGGGGCCAAAGAGCCGCATGTGGCTCACGAGCCAGTTTGCCGACCACTGGACTAGGAGACAGAGCAAGGAAACTGTCTACCCCTTAGAAAACAGAACCCCAAATGGGCTCCAAAGCCAGCTATAGAGTCTGATCTACACCATTACCATAAGGAACCCTGAGCAAAGAAAGCAAAGTTGAGAAAATGATGCAAAGACTGGTCCTTGCAGAGAAAAACAAAACTGCTTGATAAGTTGGTAGCCCTTGAAATGTGCGATTCCTACAGAAATAGCTCTCAACAAAGCTGAGCTCTCTGGTAGTCCCAGGAGAGATTAGTAAGCATGAAAGAGAAGCAGTTTTGAAGATTCCAGCAAAATATTTCCAAAATTAAAATGATCCTGACTCAGATTAATGGAATATAGTCCCAAGCAGACTAAATACAAAATTCCAAACATATCAAAGTGAAATGGTAGGACAAGAAAGAATTAAGGAAAAAAATCATTAAAGTTAGCTGAGGAAAAAAAATTGGCTATAAAATGACAGACTGCAAGCAAATCAATAGTAATAAATGCCATGGGACAAAAGTACTGAGGGAAAACCTTAAACCTGATCATCTCACCAAATAGACTATTATTTAAAGATGAAGGCAAACTAACTCCAGGTTATAAAAACTAGCATTTACTACTTGAGGCTCTAAAAAGCTATCGAAGGAGCTATTTCAGCAAGGAAGGAACTTTGAAGGCAGGAGATGACACAATGGTGAGTTGGTCATTTGGGTACATCTAAATACATACTTGACTGTAAAGTCACAAAATTCTGTAGCAGATTTGGAGAGTCAGCTGTGGAGGGGCAAAGTAAGTTGGAACAATTCTAGCCAAAAATTATATGAAGATGGTTAGGGCAGGAATAGGGGAGGAGTTATGAGTTGAAGGTTCTTATTTAAGGGTATGAGAATATTGATACCTAAAGGAGGGGTATAAAAACCCCAAGATCAGGCTAAAAATACAGAGATAAGATCTAGTTGTCCTTTCCAGATAAAACCTAGAGCCCCAGGCAACCACTTCAGTCTTTTAATGACTGATGCATCTTTTGTGTTTTTCTAGAGATATCTAAATGGGACTGACACATCTCTCTCTCTGGAAGACTTACTTCAGTTGCTTTCATCACAGCCTGAAAATTCAGTGGAGGTAACTGGAAGATTGGCTTTTATCCTTGCAGGAATATCTCTGCACTGACCTCTCAATAAATAGAACCTTTATACCTGGATGATATAGTTTAAACTAATGCATTATTACTATTTGAGCACACAGACTTAGGATTACTTTTTATTTTTTTAATATATTTTATTTTTTACAGAGAATTGAACCTGGGACCCTTGAGTCCGCAGACTGACGCTCTATCCACTGAACCAAACCGGCCAGGGCAGGATTACTTTTTTTTTTTTAATATATTTTATTGATTTTTTACAGAGAGGAAGGGAGAGAGAGAGAGAGTTAGAAACATCGATAAGAGAGAAACATCGACCAGCTGCCTCCTGCACATCTCCCACTGGGGATGTGCCCGCAACCCAGGTACATGCCCTTAACCGGAATCAAACCTGGGACCCTTCAGTCCGCAGGCCGACGCTCTATCCACTGAGCCAAACCGGTTTCGGCAGGATTACTTTTTATATAAACACTTCAACTTTGGAGAATTAGCCAAATATGTAAATACTATTCCTCCAAGTAATCGCAAAGGTCTAATCAAATTAGCATAATTCATATTGAATCAAATTTATATAATTCACATAAAATCAAAATGGCAGTAAACATTTGACAAACTAAGCCATGGCTTTATTTTCCTGGTAGCATTTGTGTCATCACACTTTATAGGTCTGATCTTTTTTAAAAGACACACACACACCCAACCAACACTACTTCACTATTGCTATTATCCATGATCCTCCAGTCCAGTGTGGATTTAGATTGCCAACAGCTAGGATGAGAGTGGCATCTTATACAGTAGTAAAATATACAGTAAGAGTATAATATTAGAATAACTAACCTAATTATAAATTGCCATATTAGAACCAACCTTTCCCCAAATATAGCATATCTTGACTTGGGTTCACACAATGTATTGAGTTGCCCATATTATTTAACTGGGTGAAGTTGTTATAGCCAACAGCATATCCCTACTTACAGAGGAGCAGACAAAACTGAGGAAAGAAAATGGTGTGTTGGGTACTAGAACTATTGAAATTGAACTATGTGTATTAAAGTGCTCTTTTCCCTTTTTCAGGGCATCTCCCTGGGAGATATTCCTCTTCTCCCAGGAAGTATCAATGATGGCATGAATTCTTCAGCATACTACAATGTGAATTTTAGCCAGGCTATAAGTCATGATGTCAATCTCCATGAGGCCATGTTGCTATATCCAGACAATACATTTAGAAGAGACCCAGTAGGAAGGACTTCACAGCCACAGGAACCATTTCTGCAGTTAAATTCTCACACCACCAATCCTGCACAGACCCTTCCTGGAACTAATTTGACAGGATTTCTTCCACCTGTTGACCATCAGATAAGGAATCTAACAAGCCACGACCTTCTATATGACCTTGATATAAATGTATTTGATGAGATAAATTCAATGTCTTTGGCGACGGAAGGTTTTGATCCCATGGAGGTTTCTCACCTTTTTGGAGAACCCGATTCTGATTCTGGGCTTTCCTTAAATTCAAGCCATAATAGCACCTCTGTCACCAATCCTAATTCCTGTGTGTGTGACAGTGCTATAGGTTCTAGTAGTGACCTTGAATCTCTTTCCCACCATGCTTTAGAAGGGGCTGTAGGCGGCTACTACCCAGAGCCCAGTAAGATTCGTCACATTGATCTTAGTAGTGATTCTACTTTCCACGGGGACCTTGCATTTCAACATATATTCCATAACCACACTTACCACTTACAGTCAAGTGTACCAGAATCCACTTCTGAGTCTTTTTCATGGCCTGGGAAATCACAGAAAATAAAAAGTAGGTACCTGAATGACACAGACAGAAACTTAAGCCGTGATGAACGCCGTGCTAAAGCTCTGCACATCCCTTTTTCTGTAGATGAAATTGTCCACATGCCTGTTGATTCTTTCAATAGTATGCTAAGCAGGTACTACCTGACAGATTTACAAGTGTCACTCATCCGTGATATTAGACGAAGAGGGAAAAATAAAGTTGCTGCTCAGAACTGTCGAAAGCGCAAACTGGACATAATTTTGAATCTAGAAGATGATGTATGTAACTTGCAAGCGAAGAAGGAAACCCTCAAGAGCGAGCGAGCCCAGTGTAACAAAGCCATTAATATCATGAAACAGAAACTGCACGACCTTTATCATGATATTCTTAGCAGGTTAAGAGATGATGAAGGTCGGCCCGTCAATCCAAACCAATATGCTCTTCAATGCAGCCATGACGGAAGTGTTTTGATTGTACCCAAGGAACTGGTGACCTCAGGCTACAAAAAGGAAACTCAAAAGGGAAAGAGAAAAAGTGAGAGAAGAAATTGAAAATAGACTGATTCCATTAATATGTATAAAGTAGTAATAATGCTATATGGATCACAAACCACTGAAACTGCTTCAAGGTTTGCTCAAGCATCTTTTTAAGCACTGTTACTTGAATCACTTAAGGCTACATTTTGAAGCTTATATGGACAAGTTTAGGACTTCAAGAGCAGACGTGGGAAATCTGGGGAAAGCCTCTTCTCCCCATGAAGTCCTCCTATGTTATATGCACAATTCATAAATATGTACAGAGTAAGGTGACAAAAACTTGATAGGACTCACTTTGGTAGCCATTTTCTAGTAAGATGGTCACTTTAAACCTAACACTGGGTGTAATTATTTTAAAATGTATTTTAGTTTTTAACTTGAAGAGCAAAGTAGCCTTAACATTCTCATTTAGTTAGCACTGAAGTATAGTGAACTTTTCAAAAGCTATTTTATTAATACTTAAATTATAACTTTTTCTCTGTGGAAATGAATTTTATACTTGAATTTATTTAAAAAGTTAACTTTTCCCTTATATACAGAAATTCTAAGCAAATTTACCTTGGCTATTATTTCCTCCAAAATAACCAATAACCATTCAGGAATACAGGTAAATATCTAGCAAAATAGGGCAGCATATTAAGACTCAATCCAAGTTGAACTCAACATAGTCTGTTAAACTAGTAAGGGAAATCCCCACTTGGACTTAACAATACTATGTGAAATAAAGACTATAAATGGCCAAATTATAAACCATGATGTCAAAAAAAATGCATTAGGCCTTAATGGCTGAGAACAAAGACCTCTACAGTCACAGGTTTTAGAGCTAGAGCACGGCTACCAGTGTATAGCTCGTCATTGCCCGGCAAGTAAGGCAGCCTGTAGGCATGACCTCACATCCGTAACATTGATGTCTCACCACAAAACTCACATAGATTCATGTGAAAACATTAGAGGCCATACATGAACACAAACCAAACAACAGGGGAAGAGTCGATGAGCATAGACTACAACCAAAGAACTGGAAATACTGAAACCACATGAAACAGGACAGTAAAATAAACAAGTGGATGGACTTGAACGTAAAAGCCACTAATCCGAGAAATAATGGAATTGAAATGCAAGTTAACATGAATACTTAATGTTTGATTTCAAAATAAGGTTGTCAGATGAGATTTGCCTAACAATGTAAAAATCAAAAGTCAAAGTATTATCTTTGTTTGCAAAAATGCAGTTTTATAAGAGTGGATTTTTTATAATAAACTTTTCTCCACTTTTAATTGGGCCTAACCATTTCTTTCAAACCCTAGATTTTGCCACAATAATGCTCCTAGATACATCACTCTTCGGTTCTGTACAATCACATTAAATGTTGATAGGCTGGCTCTGCAAAGGAGTACTCTCTAGATGTGTTATTTAAACCACAGCTTTAGGGCACTTTATGACAAATGATTTCAAGTCTACAAATGTAAGATTCTACAGTACTGATTTACGTGAAGACTTCAAAACTGTCAGTCCTATTACTCAAATATTGTCTGTCAGACTCCCCAAATCCCTGGAACTACCAAGACCACAATAAAATATAGGTGGACATCAAATTGGCAAAAAAAAAAAAAAAAAAAGGCATGTAGTGGAGCAAGCTTTTTAACAACAAAACTATCACTCTGGAAGTTACTTTGGTCCATTATAACCTAAGGTCAACAAGTCAAACCTCGAATTTCCCATTACCCCACACAATCAAAATCAGATTCAGGATAAATTGAAGCTGCTTACTCAATTATCCTTGACAATCCAGTGTTAGCAATGGAAATCTCCAAGATTTTAGTTTGAATTCTCTATTTAGATTAAGGAACATAACACATAGGTTGACTTAACACTTGGAGTGCGGGTGAATTTCCCGCCAAAATATAAGATGGCTCTGTCTTTTGGTTTTGTTCCATCCACCAAAAGGGTGGATTACAAACAAATACTTGGTAATACGCAGTTACAATCGGCCCGAGTTTACACGTTTCCCGCACTCCACCGCAAATCTATATGAACCGAGTTAAAGACGGCTCCCGCGGAGTACGGGGCCGACTTAACTCGTTTCCCGCACTCCAAGTGTTAACTGCTTTACTGGTTCAGTAGTCTCAACATACATGTTATTCTGAAATTGAGGGTAGTTATCAGAAAAAGGAATCCAATCTATACAGCCTCAGACATCAGGAACTGATCATTTTCAAAAGGCCAACTTCTAATTGAAGTTGTGTGCATTTTACAGGGTGAAACTATTGACCCATTCCTTCTTTAATAGCTAAACCAGACCAGTTAATCTTAACATGAGTAGGCAGTTAATACTTTGAACTGAGAAACAATTCCATCAAAACAAGGTTTGTAGAAAATGTGCTCCCAATTATTTGGTATGAGGTTTAAAAACAAACCTTAAGTGGCCCATGAGATCTAGACCTCTAAGATGAGCAGCTTTGTTTGCAGTTAGCCCTTGGCTTCCTTAAAGCATTTTCTATGGCATTTTCCTTGAAGCATCTTTTCCTTAGTTGACTGACCCAAACCAAAATTCCATTTTAAATTCTAACAAAGCTATTACCTCCTTCAAATATAGTATTATTCCTGAAATTATCATAAAACCCCCATTTGTTTATAAGTGAAATCCAGCAGAGTATCCCAGGCTTGGCATCTCATTTCCTTCCTGCACCCATCAAAAGAAGGTCCTGCTGAACATCCTCAACAAGCGAGGTAAAATTTGGGGGCAAGTACATAAAATCAACATGTTGAGCTCAAACAAGACCCTCTAGCTATTAGTGTTATCTTTGGAAAGATGCGTAACCCACTTTTTAACTGTTACTAAAGAACTTTCTTTTAAAGCCTCCCTAAATTACTGAACTTAAACATTTAGTACAAGTACTAATTGTTAGAATAATTTTTAGAGGGCAACTTGGCTTGCATTCCTAAACCAAACTGGGTTATTGAAAATCTCACATGAAGAACCAGTTCTAAGATCCGTGTGGGAGCCAGCTTTCTAATCATGCTTGCTCCTCGGTAATCATGAGTAAACTATGCAACCATCAGAATACACAATAGTGTGACTTAGTAGCATCGGCCCTATTTTGGATTTCTTATTCTTGGGATTGCTGAGGGAAAATAGCCAAAACCAGCTTGCCAGCCCTGTCATGCCATTTGGATGAAACTTCCAGTTGTCACCACTGCAATTTTGACCTGCAACCAGGATCAGGTAAATTGCTTTCAAATTGTTAACTTGTAAATACCGAGATCACAAGTTTATTGGTCTTTATGCAGCATTGTTTCTTATGCCTATTTTTGTCCTATCAGCAATACTTTTGGTATGCCAGACGAAAAAGGTTTAAAGTACTGCCCCAAAGTTACCTTCCTTTAGAAGGGAAATTGTTTCAATAGCCACTTCATTTAGTTTATTAGGTGTTAACACTTTAAAATCCTCACCAGAGGGTATTTTTCCCATTGATATTTAGAGTGGGAGGGAAGAGAAAAATGACTCATTGCCTCCTGTAGTGCGCCCCTGGTTGGGGCCGGGATCAAGCCTGTAACCAGGTACATGCCCTTGACCAGAATTGAACCTGTAACCCTTTAGTCTGTGGGCTGATGCTCTACCCACTGAGCCAAAACAGTGCATATCTGTTGCTTAAGGGTTGGGTGTTTTAAGGTTTCGGACTTCATTTACACCTCAAAGTCCAACTTAGTTGTCAAGCTAGACACTTCTGAAACCTTCAAAGTTATTTTCCTAATGTGAAGCCGAGTATTCAACAGTTTACTTGAATATTTGAAACAAAAACAGCTTTTGTTAGCCATCCTTAGTTTGACTTACCTGATACTTCATATTATCAAAACCAAAGAAAATAAGACATCCTTGGTATTTCATGTTTTTATGCTTTTTGTTATTTTAGGTAAATATTGAAGAAAGTCACTCACTAAATTTTATCCATCATACTTAAACCCTTTAAAGACAGCTACCCAATACTCGGTGTAAAATGCAATACCACTTTAAGAAACTAGAATGACAAATTTTAATTTGGACCACTCTGTTTAAAAGCCTGTAATACATTTTTAAAACGGCACCAGGGACGTTGAACACACATGGTAAAGCCAGAAAACTATAGCAGCATTCCAACGCTGAATATAGTGTATAAAAGAATGGCATTTTTATTAGGGACAGCCAATAACGTCCACAATAGTTTTCTCATGTCTATTAAAAGAAAAAAATGGCAATATGTACAGTTTTGTAAAACTGCTTTAAAAACCTAAGGGATGGCAATTCTTTAGACAACTGAATGTTTATAGAACAGGATTCACACATTTTATGTGTAAACATTACACCAAGTATTTGGATACAAAAGTATTTATTTTATAAAACTTTATATTTAAAATAGAACTTTAATCTGTCTACTCACAAAACCTAATTTAAAACATGATACATTTATCTCTCTGGCTGATTTGATGTTATTTTTACAAACAATACTCAACTTGTAATTGTTTTATATTAAGAACCTATACTAAATGAAGTTTGTATTTTATCAGAAAACATTTGCCTTTAATCTTAAAAGAGTGCTTTTTTAAATGAAGGCACCAACAACTACTTTCAGATGGTACAGAATTTCTTATTTCTTGAAGACTCTGTGGTTGACCACTTCTTCATTAGTTACCTGCAGCAAGACACCTTCCTGCCAAAGGAAAAAAAAAGTATCTGAAGAAGTTTATCATGTTTGTCCAAAGAACCTAAATAACTTCTGTGGTGGTCTTAGGATCAAAGAAGACTCACTGGTGCATACAGCAGAATATGCCCTGATTATCACTTTCCTGAAAAGGCAATAAAGCCAGGCAATCAAACTCTGATGACATTTAAGAAATGAATTTCAGCAGCGAACCTATATCTCTCCTATAAGATAGGTAATTGGGAAAGAATCACCACATTCATACCCCAGTATTTAGTATTAAATGTACACAGGATTCATAATGTAGACAGACACTGTAAATATAAACTATTATCTG